GAGTGTAGCTTAAAATGTTTTTCCTGCCATGAAGGGGAAAAGCTCTTGGCAGGGTGTCATGTGAACTGACACAGATGGACGTGTTTCTAGCGTTGTCTTCCTGATAGACCTATGAGCTAAATCTCATTTGGCTTTATTACTTGCAGTGAGCATTGTAGTTTATGCACACACACAAAATACTTAATACTTTTCGATTTAAGCTCTGGGTGGTCCACATTAAATGATGTGGTGCGCCACATTCAGCCCACAGGCCTTTAGTTTGACATATGGGATGTATACAGTAAAGAAGCAAAACTTTTTTACAAAGTGTTCCAGTGCTGCTAACCCTGCTCTCTTTGTCACTGTTGTTCTGGTCTACTGATCTAATGTTGGCAGTTGTTGACAGCTCTACTCTTGGCTCTAACCTTTCCAAAAGATCTTGGATTCATTCTACAGCTCCTTACTGTTGTGTTGTCACAGACGTGCTGTCAAAGTTACAAATCTGCTCCTTCGAACTCCAGGGCAAACATTCAAATCGTCTTAACTGTCCTCCCGACTCACTGAAGCCTCTTCTCTCCCTTTGTTTTCCTCTCCATCACGTGTGCTCATCTCAAAGTAGAAATTTAGTTTTATGCCTGATGAGCGCTCAGTCGAGCGTGGCTGTGGCTGCTCTCTCTCTGACTGAGAGGGATATGATAAAACACAAGCTTCTTCTCCCATCACAGGTCACTGTGTCTCAGCTGCCATGTTAAAGCTCACTAATTCTTGGTCTTTCTCCCCTTCTGTTTTGTTTGTTGTTGTTTTTTTTGTGTGTGTGACCTGCTCACCTTCTTGCTTAGCAAATGGAAAATCTAGCAGTAAGTGGTTCTCGTATTAAAGACTCTAATAATCACAACATCCAGACCAGACACTGACCATCTCATGTCTCTGTATGTACCATGGCTGCTGTTGACATCCACAGACTGCGCTCTGCAATCATCCCTATCTAAACGTCTATCTCTGTCTGGATCAGTCATGCCTCCCCTCCACCCCCCAGCTGCACTCCTCCCATCCACCCAATTATCATGTACTCTGTTGTCCTGTCCTGCAATAAATGCTTTATTTCTGTTGCTGGACTTGATCTTTATACCCTCCGTGCTGCACACTGATTCTGTCTGATGGTAGATGAAGACTCATGAACTTGAGAGTAAAGTTAATCATGACGCTGCCCTGAGTTATCACAACAACGAAATATCACATTTTTTTGAGGTTCTGTCTTGTTTTGTTTTTGTTGTTTTTTTTGCATGATTATAATTCCTTCATCATGATTTCTACTCATCATCATTTGTTTCTTTCTTCTTGTTCTTCATATGTAGAGATTGCTCACAGTTTAAGGATCATTCATCTTCTTGTGTACTTCTGTATTTTTTGGAGGGGTCGGGGGTTTATAAGTGATGAAACCAAGTCTAAATACTAATACTAGTAGTAGTTTACCATGTGGCCCAACCTGGGTGGCAGCTTCCTGCTTTAGGCCACCCCCATTAACCCCTTCAAATCCTCCCTCGTCTCTAACCCAGGGTACCCATCCGTCTATTCATCAGAGTCATTTCACTACGACCTCTGTGGGTTTATTCTGTGTGTGAATTGATTTCTCTGTTCTGTCTCTTCAGGAGCTGGAGTTGTGTCGCAGACTCTACAAGCTGCACTTTCAGCTGCTACTGCTCTTCCAGGCCTACTGTAAACTCATCAGCAGGGTGGATACCATGAAGAGGGAGGCAGCGGTGAGGGGGGAGGGAGGGGACAACACACTGAATTTTATATTCATTATAAAGTTGAGTTTAGTTCAGAGAAAACATAAGGGTTTTAGGTTTGGTTAAGGAGAGAAACATCAGACGGACAGCTTATCAGTCTCATCTCTGTCAGAGAACAGCACACAAATTTCCTTAAAAATAACCTTAAGATACAGTAAATTTTGCACATTTTTTGGTTAATTCATCGCCATCACATTTTAAGAGCCTTACCAGGATTAAATACCTGTTTATAAAGAATTAAAAGATACATAACTAAATATCAATTGCAGAATTTGTATGCCATCAGTATCCAAGTGGTCCCCAACCACTGGGTCAGGGATTATTTGATAATGGGCCACATAGAAAGAATACAAGTTTTTTTTTTAATATTTAAATTTGCCTCAGTCTAAATGGTATTTATTTAAAAAAACACAGTTTTTCCTCTGCTTCTCTGTATAAATGACAATGTAATAGTAGAAGTGCATTATATAAAAAATTATATTCACATTACTATTAATTGAGTTGATGTACTTTTGTTATGCGTGTGACCTCTACTCTCACTCTGTTGTT